CATTTAATTGGCACCAAGATCCAACGAGATAGGTACAGCTCCTCCACTTACATATAAAGGTAGTTGTTGCTATTGTTGTTTTTGGAAAGCTTAAAATGACACTGAATAAGTGACCTCTAAAAACAACTCTTGTTAGCAGGCAGAGTTGCCCTGTTTGTCCTGAAGGTGGTCTTGTTCTCATCTATGAACGCTCTTTTGCTCTTGGTCCTTAAGTAGGGGGAGCTTCTGAACTATTATCACCCCCATTTTACAGGATGAGGAAGCTGAGTCTTAGGAGAGCCAGGCGGCTTCCCAAAGTGACACAGCCTGTGAGTGGCGCTTCCAGGAGCCTCTCCCTGGTCTTTTTCTCCCCTCAGCCCCTCCTCTGCATGGAGGGTTAGGTATCAGGAGATACAGGAGGTGATGGAGGTGCCTCAGAGGTCTTTGACCAGAAGAAAAGCCCATGTGGTCATCATAGACAAATTAGCGTTTCAGGAGGAAGAACAGTTGTGTATATAGTGGAAACTCTCTTATCTGACACACTTAAGAAGGGCAATCAGCCATTTATATTTAAGCAGAGAATCATTACAATAAAACATACATAACTTAATTTTATCTTTCATGTAAAGCATTCTAATATATATTGATTTAATGAGATTTTTTTTTTTTTTTTTTTGCTAATGAGCCACTGTTGGGGACTCAGTGTTGCCGTTTATCCTTTTTGTTTTAAATACAATGTACTTTTATCTAGTCGTTCCAGGGCAATCCGATTGAGCTTTCATAGAAACAAGAAGTCTTTCTTTTTGCACTTATAGTTAATTGGCTTGTTTAATATTTAATTACATTATGAAATTGCAGTAGTGAGTACCATAGGTATAAACAGATTTGGGAATAAATACAATGTACTCTTGCAAAACGCATGAACCACCAGAGACAGAGGGCTTCCTACCCAGTCTCCTACCAGCCACCAGCCTTCAGAGCATCCAGGATATCCAGCAGTAGACTCTGTAGAGAGGATAGAGAGTGTTGGTTACTCTGGCAAGTAGGTTAAGTGAGAGTCATTAAAAGAAGTCATATTGGTAGAAATCCATATACAGTGCATGTTTGTATGTACCAGATACTTGAAGTGAATGAAATATTTCTGTGGAAATTATTTTGCTTTTCTGATTCTTTTTTCTTCTGGCCCAACCTTTTCTGAAGACTGGTTCTAATTTGAACTGGTTCAGTAGGATTTTAAAAACAACAACTTTGATTTTGTTTTCAGTGCAGTAAAAAAACAACAAAACAAAACAATTAATACTTGGGTTGGGTTCAGAGTTCAACCAACTAGTGTGTTCATTTTGGACTGTGAGTCATGTTATCCAGGTCCATGTTACTCACAATGAGAAATGATTCAAAACCAGTGCTTTTTTATCCCCCCTCTAGCTCGGAGCCTAAAGATGCCTCAGGCCTCTTTTGTCCTAAGACATCCTTGTCCTAAGTAATCCTGAAGTGACAGTTACTGGGTATCAAAACTCATTAACAGGGAAGACTGTCATGAAAACCCACTCTCTTGATTCTGACACTGAAGGTGGTCTTTGTTTCCCTTTCCTTTGCATGGTATCAGTGTTGGCTGGACATATTTTAAGCTCATTGAAAGTTGGTTATCTTAGGAACAGAAGACATCAGTATGTCTGGTTTAGTCATAAAGAAGCCATGGAGTACTGTGTTCAACACCTAAGGACAAGTCCTTGGATACCAGGCAGTGGAGGTCTGAGGACCACTCAGCCTGCCCTTTCGCCCCAGACCCGGGCAAAACTCTGCCATCAGAAGGAAACATAATCAGTGGCACATGCAGGGTGCTGCATGCTTTGCTTTGATTCTTTCTATGCCTCATTTTTTCTAGGAGTTCCATTCCACTATCTTGTCTCCTTGTTCTGTGTTTGAGGAGTCAAAATGTCCCTTCTAGCATGAACCATATGGTACTAGATGAAAGTTGAAGACATCATATGAACATATCTAACTTGGTATGGATTCAGATGGATCTATCTCTATATCTATATCACCTATATCTATATCTCTATACCTGTGTCTATGCCATCTATCTATATATGTATAAATAATTATAGATATGCGTATTTACATGGCTTAGTATACGCACTTCTGTTTCCTAGCTCGGTCCACTGAGTGGGCCTAGAAAAAAATGACAGCCCAGTAGCAGTAAGCACCCCAGAGCCCAGAACTTGGTTTCTAATACCAGTATCCAATAAAAGGAACCAGGCCTCCATAGAGAAATGGAAGATTCTAGGACTTGGGAAAATAATATGTAAGATGCGCCTGGAGCATCTTGTGGTGCCAGAAATTAAAGTCCCCAAAAGCAAAGTGAAGGGATGTGTGAAAGGGACACAGGAGCCCACTGTAAGCGCTCCCAGTAGACAAAGCTGGAACAACTTGAGAAGCAAAGTAAATCATATAGTATTGCATTATAACCCAAACTACAAAATAAATATTCATAAGTCTACAGTGATATGAATTATTGAATAAATAAACAATAGGAGAACAGGGAAACCTCCTGTACAGAAGAATCCCAAATAACTTATGTAGGATTCCCCACTCAAGGAGGTGGACCATAACTCCTTTTTAATGGGCTTCCTTTTTAATGAATACAGTGGACATTCTTGACAAACATTACCCGAGCCAGACGATCAAGGTCAACATCAACCAGCGATAGGTCATGCTGATAGCATGTACCCTCGATATGATGTGATGTGATGGGAATGTCACTTTACCTTTGTGATCTTCCTCCCCAAAACCCATAACCCTAGTCTAACCACAAGAAAAACATCAGACAGACCCAAATTGAAGGACATTCTACAAAATACCTGCCCAGTACACCTCAAAACTGTCAAGGTCAACAAAAACAAAGAGTCTGAGAAGCTGTCCCAATCTACAGGCGCCTAAAGAGACGTAATGACTAAATGTAATGTGATATTCTCATGGAAACCTGGAACAGAAAAATGACATTAGGTAAAAACTAAGGAAATGTGAATAAGGTATGGGCTTTGTTCAATTAGAATCTATCAACATTCATTCATGAGTTGTGACAAATGTACCATATTAATGCTAGCAATATGGGAAACTGGGAGAGGAGTATATGGGAACTCTCTGTAATATATTTATAACTTTTCTGTGTCCAAAAATTACAGAAATAAAACAAATAAATAAAAAGTTTATTTTGAAAAATCCCCCTGGCCACTTTTCTTTCTCCTGACCCTGTCTCCCAACATGCTGGTCATGCAAGAAATTGCAGTGGCACCCATAGGCAGCCTTGATATTTCTCTGAATTCAACATGGCAGCTCTTGCTTGTTGGTATGGCAAGCTGAATACCATTTCCAGTTTTCTGGCTTCTCTAGTTCCCAGGGGCTTATCTGAGGCATTTTTGTTGGCTGTAATGTGGTCTGAGACAGTTTGTTTACAGCCTGGAGGAGCCCTGTGTGTTGGTCTCTTGCTGTTGGCGACGCCAGACTCCACACTGCTGGGGCAGGGATACATCACTCAGTCTTTTGAGAACTTAACCATAATGCCTTCATTTGCCAATCACCATTTTATAGCCAGTAGAAAGACACACCGTAACGTGTATTCTTATACTGAGTGTTTACACCACGAGAGTGATTTCCCAGGGCCCAAATGGTCCTGGCTCACTTAAACATCTCCAGTGACCACCCTTACCTAAGGGACCAGGCCCATGCAGGGCAGGCAAAAAACCATTGCTAATGTGATTCCAGCATACTCTTCAGCAGCCGCAACAGCTGCCTCCTCCACACTCTCCTTCCTTTCACCACACCTATGCCCCAGGAATGGATTTCACTGCTTCCTGAACACATCGTATTCCCTTATGCTTCTGAGTTTCTGCCCATGGCCTTCTTTCTTTGTTTTTCTGGAGACCTTCTATGCATTCTTCAAAACCCAACATGAATGTGTCTCTGTGAAGCATCCCCCAGTTCCCCCAGGCAAAGCTGCGTGTTCCCTCTTCTTGCTCATGGGCAGAGAATTTTATATGGCCATACTCATGCACTTCAACAGCATTCTGTTGAATATTGGAGGCATCTGTCTATATTACTGGCCTGGGAATGACTTGTCCAAGGCATAGCCAGTGTTCTATTGGGTTGTCGGAAAAGTCAGGACGTATTTTTTTTCAATGTTTTTCGTTGCAAAAATGCGTCATGACTTTTTCTGACAACCTAATACTTGTCTTTGTGTCCCCAGAGCCCAGCACAGTATTTGGAAGACAGTAAGAAGTTAAGCAAGTGAATGAGTACAAACCCGTTACCATGTACTTTGTGTTATTTTTCTGAGAAAGGCGGTTAGTCCTGTGATTTCTGAAGTCAACCAGCCTTGAATTCAAATCCCAACTCTATCACTTGCAGATGAATTTAGCCTGGTTACTTAATGTCTCAGTTTCTTCAACTGATCAACGGGAGTAATATTAACCTCAGAGGACTGTTGGGAAGATTAAATATGAAAATCTGCTATTTAGCAGTGCCAAGCACAAATAAACATCCAATGTGTAATAACTATAATTATTGGACCAAAGTGTCCATATTCTCTTGACAGACTCTTCTATGTCTAGCAACACGTGGCTGTGAGACAAACATCTTGGAATAGAGATTCTATTGGTGTGGAACCAATCCATTTAAGAGTCAGAACTTTGACCTTGATCCTCTTGGCACTGTGCCTAGGCTAATTGTATGTGAAGACCTGATGGGAGACTCAAGTGGGTCCAATGTCTATAGGAGCCAGAAAAACCATTTAAAACCAGGTAGTTAGTAGGTTGGTGAATGTTACCTCTAGTTATACTCCTCGTAGGCGCGTCAATCATTTCCCTGCTGCTGGCCCTGATTAACGTCCTTGGTGATCGTTAATAAATGTAACTGTTTGCATTTCCCAAATATGTTTGAATTTCACAAGTCATATGTTTCCAGGACAAGAGCCAAAACTAATCAACCCAGTCTTTGGAAAAGCAGCTGATGGAGGCATAATCCGCAACTTTAATTAACATTGAGGCTTTGAAATTGAACACAAAGAAGGAAAATTAACGAACTGTTTAATTTTGTCTTCTCCGTACCTTAACCATTTAATCTTTACCCAGGACACCCCCCGCCCCCACAGTGCGATACATGGTCTTGTAAATGTTTTATTACAAGTGGATTGTTTTGTCATCAACTGCTGATTTCATTTGTACTTAAAAAGCATTCAGTTGCCACACTAAAGGGAAGTTAAGAGGCAGCCCAGATACTTGCTAAGCCAACGTTCAAGGATGATGTGCCCAAGCCATCCTGAGGCTGCTGTCTTTAACCGAATCAGCCTGGCCTGGCTACACTACTCAAGCTGCCCAAAAAAATAAACCAAGACTCTTGAAAGGTTTTCATGCTGGAGTCCCATTTGCAAATCTGGTTTGGAATGGACTCTTGACAAAGGTGATTGACTCCTCCCTGTGCTCCCACTGCTCTGGCTTCGTTCAGTGCAAGAGGGCCACCAGCAGTTTCTGGAAGTCCCCAGAAGTGTCCGAGCGAACCATGTCAGAGAGAGACTTCTGATACTTCTCTTGGAACTTTGCTTTTATCCCCTGAAGATCCACCTGCAGAAGAGATGAGAACAGTAATGGGGATGCAACATTTAGAGCATGTTCACTGTAGACGCAGGCAGGCATTGTTCTAAGCACGGTATCCTCCTTTGCTCATTTGTGCTCATTTAACCCTTAGTGGTAGGGGCCATTATTCTTCCTATTGTGCGAGTGAGGAAAGGAAAGCTGAGCTGAGCTCCCCAAAGGTTGCAGAGGCGTCTGTGTGCGTGCGCGTGTGTCCAATAAAACTTTATTTATGGACACGGAAATTTGATTACATGAGTTTTATGTGTTGCAAAATGTTATTTTTCTTTTGAGTTTTCTACAGTTATTTAAAAATGAATCATTCTTAGGTAGCAGGACTTGACAAAACATAGAGATTTGAAATGAAGCCTTTTTTCTCGCGCCCTGATCAGGAAGGGCATTAGTATCTTAATCAACAAAATTCAAATCAATATCGATTTCTAGGACTTATTTTGAATCTAATGTATTAAAAGCTTGAAAAACCTAGGGGGTGGAAGGAGCGGGAGGACTCAGCAGAAAAATGGTTAAAAGATGATCCTGCTCTAAAAGCTCTTACAATCTGGTAAAGGAGAAAAGATCTAATTCCAGAGAGAGCACAGCCTCATGAAAGAACAACACTCTCTTTAACCAGGAGTTTTGTGGTTTTTAGTCCCCCCCTCTTTTATATATATATATATATATATATATATATATATATATATATATATATATATATATATTTAAACTCTATCTTGCTTCCTAGACCGGCACTCAAACCATTGCTCAAGTTTCTGGTTCTTTTTCCTCCTGAACCGATTAGAAAGCTGAACAGAAGAGAGAAAGATAAGAACAGGAGAAGGCAGGAGAGTAAAGAATTGTTCAAAGTGGGCGCTGAGCAGGAGAGAGACTATGTCAGGCAGCTGGGACCTGTCCCTCGGCTCTCCTGGCTTTGTGCACTGCTTGGCTGGGGAGGGGCAGGGAGGAGAGGGGGTCAGCGTGGGATTGGGGTGCACTGAGGCTCTGTTCTAGTACTATGCAGCTTTGGGGGATTAGGGGTTCTGGCCAACTATATCCGGCCAGGCCTGAAGCATTCTCAGCGAATGGTCCTCATGTGGAGATGACCCAGGACCCATGGTCAGTACCGACACGGGCAGAGCATCTTGGAATAAACAGTCCGCGACCCACATGGGAGTGAACTTGGAACTCTGGGGAGCCCTCCAGACCCATCCAGTCCCCTGGGGTCTTTCAGAATCCTCGCTGTGCTCTGCTCCTTTGAATGCCTCATGACTTTGGTTGGGGGTTGAGTTGCTAAGAGACAGAGAGACAGAGAAGGCAGAGACCTAGAGAGAGAAGTGAAAGGCAGAGATTCAGAGCCACAGAGGAGAGAATGGGGACTGCAGGAGAGTGGCAGAGACCCTGGGGAAGGGAAATAGGAAGGAGAGGCAGACACGGACTTTAAGAGAGAAAGAATAATATGAATAGTGGAGGAGGAAGAGAAGGAGGTGGAGCAGAAATTCCAAGAATAGGAATAAAAACGAAAGAAGAGTCGTGTTGCTAAGTTATATGAAAAAACAGTGCGAGATGTTAAGTATTATTTGACAGAAGCCGTGGGCCAGCATTTGGGTTGGTATCTTTCCCCCATCATTTAACAATTTTTTGAGAGAGGATGTCTGTGGTTTTCAAGTGCTCAGTTACACTTCATTCGCCAAGGCTTCTCCTGCTGCAGATGAAATGCCATTTCCCCCTTATTTTGTAATTTCTTCTCTGTGTAGCCCTGTATTCCAGAGTCTGTGCTATGAATCTTGACAGCTGCCCCCAAGCTTCTGGCTACACACCTCCCCGTCCCTTACTTACCCTCGTGCATTGTCAGAGAGGGACAGTATTGCTCCCAACAGGGCAAAAATTGGTTCTCGCAGCGTGAAAAAAAGTCTTAATCTTTTCATGTAAAAGTGACTATATTAAGGAACGTAAACTGGTATACGGTATCATGTCTTGAGGGTAGGCTATTGATTTCGGAAAACAACTGAGTCCAAAGTGTCTTCTTAGTGGGGCAATCCATAATTAAAAAGAGGTTGAGAAACATTGTCTTGTACTGATGTGTTTCCTGTGCAAAATTGTGCGTCTGTGGTGTGTTTCATTACACAAAGGCCTAGCTCAGGAGTTAGGAAATCGTTTGCTTATTGTCTCGACTACTGGGTGACCTATTCCGTCGCTAAACTTTCAGTGTCTCTATTTTGTCTTCCTTAAAACAGGAGCCAAGCATAGCTGCATTACCCAGGAGCCAAGCATAGCTGCATTACCCAGGAGGGCTGCACAGGTCCCCTCTGCACACTGTCACGAGCTCTCCGGAGCCACAGATGACAAAAATAGAAGCAGCTATCATTACTGTATTTTTACAAAAAGAAAACAGATGGATGAATAGCACAGTTGTCTTTCACAAAGTCTGGGAAGGTAAAAGCTGTCTCTGTTTTACTTTTTTCTGTAAATAGGCACTTAAGAAAAACTATGTGTTGACGACATCTGTGGTGGTACAAAGGGACGCTGCCGTCTGCCCCTTTGGAGTTGAGTGTGTCTTACCTCACCCCTGGTCACAAAGATGTGAATTAGCGTCTCCTCATCGGTCCCCGCTCCCTTCATGGACTTGTACAGACGGTCAGCGAAATAACCCTCCTGGTCCCGGGCACACCTCACTGGGCAGGGTGACAGAAAAGAGAACATGAGACGGTCACATTCTGTTGAGTAACATGGAGACCCTCAGAAGGAACCGAGATGTCCCGGAGTGTCACTTGGCTGCCCTTGGAGCCCACTGGGTTATGAGGCAGATGTTTGAAAGGAGTGAAGTCCACTGTTGTGTCATGGGATCTGGGAGATTCTCCTGGTCAGAGCACCCGGATTCTTCAGCCAGAACCCATTCTGACAAATAAGAGCCTCCCCTGTTCCCTGATGACTCTTTGACGGTGGAGGAACGCTTGGCCCTCTTTAGGCTCTCCCTGCAAAGTGCGTGATTTCTCTCCAGCCGAAATAACTTTCATACCTAAATAAAATCCCTGAGGCTGGAGTCAGGTCCACAAAAGAAACAGGTTGGCTGGCAGCCTTGCTGGAATAAAATTTCCCATCACACAGTAAGACTGTCGCCTGCTTTCCTGTGTAAGACAACCTTCCTTCCCTTGGTGTTTCCTCACTGGGTTGGGTTTGTGCACCTCATCTCTGGAGCGTTTCCAAGTTGCCCCACACTCTTCTTAGTTTGCAACCTGGGATGCGGGCTTGATGAAATGTTTGAGCCTATCTACAGATCACCTTCCTAGGAGGGTGCCAGTTTCTCTTTTCAGCCCCCAACTCCCTTGCCCACCAGCTTTGATCTAACCCACAAATTAACGAAGCATGGTTTCCACTCACTAACCGGGAGATAGGGTGCATCACTACTCCCGGGGATAAATCACTCTTCCTCTCCCCCCGCCCCCCAGGCTAATACGGTTCCATATTGACTAACGCTTTGGAGGGAAAGAACCGTTTACTCGTTAGGTTGTTGACATTTACCTAGAACACTTAACATTTCCGATGTAAGTGATTCGTAACGAGTTATTAATTCAGCATAAGCGTGGAATGCGCAGCCTTAATATGGCCTGTAATGGAAACTCCGGTTTCCTAGGTAATTGCCCATATGATTGACGTTTACAAGCAAGGGAGAGGAACAGGGTTAGGGAAGCAGAGTCTAAGCTGGGAGGTCTGTCTCCGTTTGTAGGCCATGTGGCAGCCACCAGAGTGTCAGCGGAAAAGTAAAAGCCAGACCCAGGCGCCTGACCTCTTTAGCCCGAGAACAACCCAAAAGCTGCTGCTGGATGGGTGGCGGTTGTGGCCCCGGAGAACCTATCAATTTGGGTAGCAGCACTTTTGGGGCTCACTGTGATCCCCAGGCTTTCTGAGCTAGTGACCTCACAGGTTTCCCTAAGGACCCGCTCCCTTGCAGCACTAGCTGATGCTGAAATGACTGTCTGCCTGCTGTCAGTGTGCTCCATGCCTGCATATGATTAGGTGTCTGCATTGCTTCTTCCTGATATTTTGGGGAGAAAATGCTCAGCTTCCCTACTACATACAAGCTATGCCTATTGAACAGCCTCTGTTCATCGCCGTAGCAGGCATCGCTCAGAGGTTTGGATGGGGCTAGCTGAGGAAGGGTTGGGAGTTACGGCGGCGAGTGGAAGGCGGGGCAGCCGTCTACTACACTGTCTCTTGGTCCTTCTTACTGGAGAACAGGGGTTCTCAAACTCCAGTGCGCATAAGGCAATCACTTAGGGATGCTGTGACAGTGTGGCTTCCAGGCTCTCCTCCCCTCCTGGATGGGCAAGCTGCCTTGGGGCTCAGGAAACTGTATTTTCACATGCTTTGCCATAGGTGATTCTGATGCTGGTGGTCCGTGCTGGGGTCCCCTCCCACTTTGAGAAGTATTGCTTCAGAGACTGCAAGAGGTGGGAGTCATTGAGTCTCATAACCCCTCCTTCTTAATGTTAAGCATAAACTGGCATCTGTATGAGCTAGGTAAGAGTGTGGCAGGGGGCAGTAGAAAATCCAGTCTTGAAGTCGTGTTTCCAATCTGTGTGTTTATTCTCAAGGTCTTTTCTAATCACTTTTACGTGTGCTATCGCTGGAGTACACCTAAGTCCTGCATTTCCTGGTCCCCAACCGCAAGCACGGAGCCTTTCCTTCCTCTGTACCCTCCTTGCTCTGGCTGGTTTGGTTTTTATCATTCCTGGAGCCTACCCTATTGATTTGTGTGTATCTGCCATGGACTTTACACTCCTTAAGAGCAGGAACTGGACCTATTTATCTCTGATCCCCACACCTAGCACGGCCCCTGGCCTAGACAGGTGCTAAGTAAATGTTAAAGAGTTGAATGGTTTTATTACCATTAATAATGGTTTTATTACCATTAATAATTAATATTAATAAATATTAACGTCACTCTTCTGACTGAACACTGGTGTTCTCCTGATTCTCTGCACTGTAAGCACAGGAGGGGTTCGGAGGCTCGGAGCTGGGCGCTGATGGGTCTCTTCATTTACTTAAGACACTCATCCTTTCAGCCCTACAAACAGTCATCCATGTGTATCCAGGGTGGGTCAGGGATGCTTAGGCCTCTGGACATCACAATAGAAGTCCTGCTGACTTGAATGCAAAATGAGGATGAATTAAAAAAAAAAATCAATTGCTGACATTGTTCCCAAAAAAACAAAGAAAGAAAGAAAAGAAAAAGTTTGGCAGCTAGAGCACGTTTTTTAACTTCCAGGGCTGCTTTTTCAGTTCTTCCTCTTCTGGGGGTGCCTATCGCCATTGCTTGTGCCATTTGGGATGGTGCCCTGGACGCCTCAGCGCAGGAGTGTGGACAATGGACAATGCCTCCATTCCAGGCCTTGCAGAAAGGAAAAGGGAGCCTGCCAGACACAGCCTCATGCCCATCTCTCTGCTATTTCCTGCCTGTGGGCAACACCTGGAGAGGAGGCCCTGGTGTTTGCTTGGCACACTCAAGATCTGGTCTCCCTCCCATCTCTTTCTAAACAGGCCTCATTCATTCCAAATGTTGAAGGGAACTGAATGAAAAAGGACACCCTCGAGCCATTAGGCATGTGCAGAGACTTGTTCATGGGTCCAGAGCCTGGGCACTTTGGAGTGTGCATCATATGAACCACATACTGCTCCCTGAGACTGGACAATGGTCCCAGGCTGCCAACAGATGCTCTCGGGAACCCGCAAGCTTAGTGGGACTGTATGGGATGCCACGGTGTGTACCCCAGATGACCGCTACAGGACCGAGGCACTCAGTCCAAGTGTTGCCTGCTGGCTGCTCACATCTGAGTCCCTTCCCAGGAGTTACCCTCCAAGGAGGAAGCAGCCTTACCCAGGGTTGCAAATGCTCCCAGGGTGCAGCTCTCTGGCTACTTGCCTCCACTTTGGACATCCTGGCTTCCGGGCCCCTTGGGGGACCAGCAAAGAGCCTGTTGCAACTGCATCACATTCATTCTCTCCCTTGCCCAATGCTGCTTAGATGTGTTGTTCCCAAAACTATTCTGTGACAGTTTCCTGCACGCAAACCTCCGTCTCTGAGTCTGGTTCCAGGGAGCCCATCCTAAGTCAGGGACTCTCCTAGTGGCACTTTACCAAGAGTTAAGTAGGCCTTCTGCAGATCTCCTGAGGTTTCTGCTTCGATGGCCTCTTCGATGTCTTTGCCGATAAGCTGGGGAGACAAAGTCCAGCTGTTAATACATTGTTTTGATTTTGGTGGACTTGGGGTTCTTCCTGCACAAAAAGCACAACTCTTCCAGGTTTCGTCATGTGGCCTTAAGGAACTCCTATCTGATCTGGTGCCTGGCAGGGCTGAAACCTCCTATTTGAGTGGGGGCTCTCATGGCTGAGGAGCTAGTCCAGATCTGCACCTAATGGATTTGACCCCAGTCAGGACCACATCCTGAGCCTCGACTTCCTCCTCTGTAAAAGCAAGGAATGGAAGAACAATGGACATATACCGGGTCAATAATTCTTCATGTAATATTTGCGTTTCCTATGTGTTTTTAAACACTCTTTCTATTTCTAATTTTCTAAGAGGCTGTGGTTATAATCATCTTACTCACACCTTCCTGTCAACGTTGTCCTGGGACTGGGGACTCAGTCTCCTATAGTTTGGGTGAAATAGAGGCTGTGAAGTTCGTGGCAAGGACCTGCCTAAGGTTTCTGATACAGTGGAGCTGCATGGGCTGGAGGGGGTTGGGGTGTGTCGGGTGGGGGCGGGGGGGATGGTTCACCACGTCCAAATGCCACTTTCCTTCACTCTGGGGTGATTCCAAATGGTCCTATGTTCACCACCACCTCGCATATCACTCTGTACAGAATTACGCATTAGGTTTCTTTCCAAATATTTACAGAAGCTGAAGCTCAAAGTAAATTGTGGCTATGCTTAGTGCAAGTACCTCCTGGGCCAAACTCAGGGCAGGCAAATGAAGAGAAAGGCAAACTTCTTGTTGGGTTTGGGAAATGCAGTTAAGTATCAGAAATACTGAAGCATCTTTCTGAGAAATTCTCTTTAGAGGATATGACACAATTATGATTCTTTAAATAACTGAAGGACCTGCCAGTGGAGTTTCTGGAGTTTAGTCTGAAAACACAGGTAAACACAATAGTCTTTCCAACCTAAGCACAATAGCTCTGAAGGAAGGAGCGTCCAGATTGAATGAAGCCCTGTTCCTTGATCTTGTCATGGTTTGCACAAACGGAGGTCTGGTGTGTGTGATGGGTTCGAAGGGGATTGGGTTGGGGAGTTTTCAGTCCTGTCCGTTCCTTAGCTGTTCACAGCCTTTTTGGGGGAGTTGGTATCACTTTCTCATGAGCAGGGCTCTTGTTCTGTAGTCTGGGATTGCATTTCAAGAGGACATTGTATTCACAGGTCTGTGTTTACTAAAAAAAAAATACTCATATTAAACCACTTTCAGTTTCTGTTGTTAATGCTGAACCAGAACAGCACTTTTCAATTTTCTGTAGAATCTCAGCCTACACAACAGACAAAAGCAAAAAAAGCAGAGCTGTGCTGGAGAGGCAGCAGACAAGGCCCTTACCTTAGCCCTAGGCAGTAATGCCAGGCTTCTGCCTTCTCAGGGTCTCTTCTTTGCACAACTTCAGGGGGCACTAGTCACACACTACAAAAAGATGGCATCGCCCCTTCATCTCTACCTACCTCCTTCCCCTAACTGCCTCCTGGTAGCTACCAAGGCACCACCAGTGGATTCGTGGAAAACAATTGACTGGCCCAAGCGATTGCAACTCTCCTTTGCAAATGGCACGCTTTTCACTTACTGGAACACTTCATTCTTATGGGGCTTTTGGGACAGAACCAGGGCTTGTTCTTAGTACAAAAACACATTACCAGGGCGAATTCCAGGCAAACCTCAAAGCCTTCTAGTTAACCAGGTAGGGAGCTTATTAGAAAAATAGGGGAGACATTTCTTTCTTTTAAAGCCAAGTCCCCCAAATTGACAGTGTGCCCATAGCATAACCCTGTCAATTGCTTTGGCTACAGCAATTATTGGGCTAAAGGCTCTAGAATGGGTTTAGGACACTCAAAGAGGAGGGGAGAAGCGGTGAGGGAGGCAGTGAGCCTGGGCTGTGGGTGTGTGTACCTACGATTTATTTTGAGCCCTGTTTGGGGAACTTACTTCAGCTTTATAACTATGTAAACCTTTTTTATGGCTGAGTAATATTTCATTGTGTGAAATAAGTCAGACAGAAAAAGACAAATACCATATGATTCCACTTACATGTGGAATCTAAAATACGAAACATAAAAAAAGCAAGCAGAACAGAAACAGACTCATAGATACAGAGAACAAACTGATGGTTGCCAGATGGGAAGGGGGTTGCAGGGTTCGGTGAAAAGGGGGAAGGGTTCAAGAAGTACAAATTGGCAGTTGCAGAACAGTCATGGGGATGTAAAGTACAGCATAGGGAATATAGTCAACAATATGGTAAAAACTATGTATGGTGCCAGGTGGGTATTAGACTTATCGGGGGGGGGGGGGTAGGGGGTATCACTTCATAAGTTATATAAATGTCTAACCACTATGCTATACACATGAAACTAATATAATATTTCATGTCAGCTGTAATTGAAAAATAAAATAAAGTGAAGACTCAGGCTTAGAGGGCAAATAAAGGGCAAAACCCTGTGTTTTTGTGCCAAAAATTACAGTTCAACTCTAGATCAGGACAACCTATGTCACATAACGTGTTCCAGCGATCTGACACCAGCATCTTGGTGCTTTTAGCCAGAGACCATGAGGAAATTTATGGATCAGGGTCCTAAGATCAGAGTGCAATCTAAAAATCAACGATAAAGATCAAGGTGAATGATGTTTCAGCAAGTTTGTTGGAATAGTTGAAGAGGCAGCTTTTTTGAGCTGGTGCCATGCAAAGAATCGTCAACTCAGTCGATTATCTTATCGTCCATTTGAGCTTTAGCTCTGGTTTTTTTTTTACTCTGTTGGCCTGTTAATTCATTTAATCCTTACCAACCCTATGCAGTACGTACTATTATAATCCCTATTTTAATGATTGGGGAAACTGAGGCACAGGACCCTGACTAACTTGCCCACGGTCATACAGCTAGTAACCTGGAGCAGACTTCTTGCATTTTAACTTGCATTAGAATCTGGAGGATTTGTTAAAACAAAACAGGCAATAGGACCCCTCAACCCCCCGAGAATCTGACTCAGTAGGTCCAGGGTGAGGACTGCGAATTCTCACTTTTAACACATTCTCAGGTGATACTGCTGCTGCTGCTACGGGATTCATTTTAAGAAGGATTGGCCTTAGAGTACCCTCAGTCAGGTGGTCAGTCGTTCACACACACATGCACACGCACACACGCACACGCACATGTATGTGTGTTTCTACAGTCATCACCAATGACAGCCATACCCAGAACCTCCATCCTCGGCCCCAGTCATGAAGGAAGAAGGTCTAGGTCGTGGAGCCATCTTCTAGCTCAGTCTCCACAGCTCGAGGCACAGAGGCCAGGGGAGTGCAGGGTCAGCTGCCTTTGATCATGACTCTGGGAACGATTTGAAAGCAGAGGGCCCTAAAGGCTTATGTACAGTAATGATAAAATTCCAAAGCTTTATTGTCTTTTCATCTGCTGGCAACACATAGAAAACACAATTTTGAGTGAGGAGCCGCCAGCTCCAGCCGAGGTAGGAGCTCAGGCTGGGGAATCTTGGAGTTCTCATCCACTCTCTGCTACTGACTTGCTGTGTGGTCCTGATAAGTTACAGATGGTTTCTTACTCATAACAGACTTTCCTTGTCCAGCAGTTGTGGGTAACAATGGCTGTGCAGCGTGCATTATAGTTACGGTATTATTGTGAAATTGAAATGAGATACGGGGCACAGAAGTGCTTTGAATCGTTAAAAGCACTTTACAAATATAAAATAGGAGACCAAAAAAAAAAAATCTGATACTCCACAAAAGGCTTCCTGCAATTAAAGACTGATTTTCAGGGAAGGACTTACCACTAAGTGCCTTGAAATAGCTATCTCTCCTTGTTGGCTTAAAATAATCATTAGATTAAAAAAATAACTATATAAAAGTAATTTACGCGCATCTTTTCAGGAGTTTATCTCTGAGGTATATCACACCCATCTTGGGAGTGGTCAGCGCTGCTAGCTCAACTGTAAATTGGAAAAATAACAATAGCGAACATTTGTATGCTTACCACATGCCAGGTACTGTCCTGAGCCTTTTACATTTATCTTATTTAGCTCTTAAAATAACCCCAAGAGGGTGTGATGATGGTCATGGCCTCTGTCTTACAGATGAGGATAGAGAGGTCACTTGCCAGTGGTAGAACCAGGATTTGAACCTGGACCCTCTGACTCTAGGGCTTTGCTCCTAAACTTGACACGTCTCTACTTTCGTAGCCTCTCTTGTAAAGCGGGGTTTCCCACCCTTGGCACTCCATTTGGGGGCAGGTGATTCTTTGCTGTGGGGCTGTCCTGTGCATTGTAAGATGTTTAGCAGCACCCTGGCCTCTGCCTACTGACAGTACCAGACGATGTGACACCCCCAAATGTTTCCAGACATTATCAAATATCCCTTGGGGTGGGCAAAATGAGCCCTGGTTGAGAACCACTGTTGTAAAAGGCACGCCCCCCCCGCCCCTCCCCCTCACTTTCAATGTGAACTCCTTGCCCTGGCACTTGACTACTCACAATCTGATAGGCTTGAAAGGTGGCTCGTAACTGCTTGTGGCTCCTCTCGGCCAGAACTTCATTGAAGGCAAGTTCATCGGTGCCCCAGCGGCCTTCCCCTGCCTCAGGGGTCAAATGCAAACATTTGGAAAAAGCCTTTGGCGAAAAGACTGACTATACAGTGCTGTGACCAGGCCTGACTTACAGGAAATTATAAAATCTGCGCTGAGTTAGAAGCCCAATTGATTGACTGAACACTTTAAACGTCTAACCCGCGCGTATATTTCCCATATTCGTTTGTATTATTTATACCCTCCCTTATGACAAAATGGATCGGAGGTGGTTAACCTCAGAGCATAAGAACAGGAATAATTCTTCTAGGTTCGTGAAGATTGTATGTATGAAAAATATTTTAAAGCTCATGCTTATTTCCTGAGTAACTCCCATTTGCCTATAATAAAGAAACACTTGTTAATAATGCGAATAAATTTAAAAAGAGGTTTTGCTGAGACTGGCACATCTGCATACTTACATCATACAGATCTTTGGCATCCTGGCCAGCTAGATCTTTGTCCACATTATCTCCTTCATCCCGATTAGCCTAGAAAAATTGACACATTGTTATTAGCTTGAGTTCCTGCCCGACCACAGAAAACAAAAAGGAAAAATCCTGGAAAACTGGTGGGTGACCTCAGTGGGGTGGCCTCATGGAGTCAGCCTGGCAGAGTGGCAACACTGCTCTTTGCTGCCATCTTTTGGGGACAACTAATAAACAGAGTACCTTCCCTGACAACACTTATTTTCTGTTTTGGGGGTTTTTTTTGTGTAGAAGCCAGAATCATTCACAAACCCCACTGACCTCTAAGCAGGCTGAAAGCAACTTCATGATGTCTCTGTGAGTCAGTTAATTAAAAAGGTACTAGCCTCCTTTCCAAAATATTAAATCCCACCTCTCAGAGTCCCCATCCTGAAGAACCCTGAATGTTGGTAATGGAAGGTCTTGAAGTCTGAGCCCTTTGTGGCAGGCAGAATTCTAAAACAACCCCAATGGCCCACACCCTTGTATAATCCCCTTCTCTTGAGTGTGGGCAAGGCTGTGAATATGATGAGATATCACTCCTGTGGTTGTGTTCTGTTAATAAGGCAAAGGAGGTGTTTGCAGATGTGATTAAGATCCCTAATCTGTTGAGTTTATCAAAAGGGATGGGTCTCACCCAATCAAGTGAGCTCTTAAAAGGTCAGAGATGGAACAAGTCAGAGAGATGAGCTTCTGCTGGATTGAAAGAACCCAAAAAGCCATGCTTTGAGCTGTCTGTGGGGGCACATGCCAGGGAATTGCAGATAGCCTTTCAATGCTGATAGTGGTCTCTGGGTGACAGCTAGCAAGAAAATAGCGACATCAGTCACACAGCTGCAAAAAACCTGAAAACCGCCCACAACCAGTGAGCTTGGAAGAGGACCCAGGTGCTCTGATGAAACGGCAGCGCTGGCTGCCTTGGTTCCAGCCTGGAGACCCTGAGCAGAGGGCTCACATAACCTGTGACAGGACTCCTGACCTATAGAAACGGCGAGATCATAGGTCTATGTTGTTTTGAGCTCCTAAGGTTGTGGCATTTTGTTTATACAGCAGAACTCGTATATTCTTCCTATTACAGTGGAAAGCTGCTCCACGTGTTCTCTGCTGTCAGTCTATCCACATCGAGAGAAATGAAACAGGAAATGCACAAAGCTAATAAAGATGGGTGTATCAATGAGAGTACAGATGCTGTTTGGCTGGAGGCCCAGGAGGTGTGTCCTAGCAGGGAGGATTCTGAAAGCCCCACTTTCCTGCCCAAGCTCCCCGCAGCAGTTCTTATAGGCTGAGACTTGGGGTGGATCCTGGAAGTAAGGGCAGAGCTGGGCTGTGAAAAGGACCCTGTTTGGATTCAGATGGTCTGGTTCTGGCTCCTGGACTGCGTCTTCCTTACTGTGTGTAAATCTGGGCAGGTTACCCATCCTCTGTCCAGGCTTGAGTCTCCTCACTGGGAAAATGAGGTGGCGGTGCTTAATGAGATGGGCCATTAACAAAAAGGGATTGCAAACTGCAAATGACTACGTGAATTATTATCATGAGAGAAATCCCAATTGAATAATTTCCCCAGGGCTGGGCTGAGAGAGCCTGGGTGAATGATCCCTCTTTTTTAATAAAAAGAAGGAAATGTTTATCTACGTGGCCTTTTTCATCATGGTACCATGTTGCCAAGGGCTATTTCCTAAGGTTATAAAGCAGGTGAGACCTCTTTACCCTTACCTGTAGCAGAGACACCAGAATTTTTTTTAGGTTGCCACTCGTATCATCTTTGATAGCTGATTCAAGGCTCCTGTCAAATACTTTTGAAGAGGGAAAAAGGAGGGGAGAAAGAAGACAATTTAATTTCCTAGAAACATTTTGAAAAGAACATTCTTTACCCAAAGTCAGAACAAAAGGTCACTTACACCTCTGGTAGGCCTCTTTAATGGCGATGATTTCCTAGGAAAGGTAATAAAGTAAATCAGTACTCCACAGTGGTTTAATCGATAAGCTATGAGAGGCACACACAGGGAAGAGGACCTGCCTCTGGACACAGGATGCCTTCATGACTTCTCCAAAGAGGACCATCCTGTGGGTCAGGGCGGAGGCCTGGAGCAGGTCCCTGGAGGTGTTGAAGGGGCCCCTTTCATGCAAACACTTCAAAGCACACAAATAAAAGTACGCATATGTTCTCCTTAGTGCAAGGTGAAAATACTACAGCTAAGCTTCTCTACCTCCTCACCTCATTTCACTCTCCCATCCCCACCCGGATTGTCAGTGTTAGAAGTTCAGTGCATATCTTCACAAGTATTTTTCTTTGCATTTGTATACCTATAGATGCTATTGGAAATATATACAATAGAATTGTTTCAGGTATGTGTTTAAAAAGTAGAACATTGTACACATTGTGCTCTGGCTTACTTTTTTACTCAGTCATGTGTCTTGGAGCTCCAGCTGTGCTTATACATAGTCACCTAGTGTTTTTGAAATAGATAGGAAATGTTCCATCTTAACAATAAGCCACTGTTTAGCCAGCCTCGGATTGATGGACATTTAGGTTGCTTCAGTTTTTCTCGACTTCAAACAAGGTTTCATTCAGTAAACCATTTGCTGCATGCAGGAGTGCAACTTTCTCTCTAAGGTGTGTCCTGGGAAGAATCGCTTTCTATTTCAATGACTGCTGCCAAGTGGCCCACTCAGGAGCTGCCTCCGTTTACACTTGAACCAGCAGCGTGTAAGAGCAGGTGTTTCCCCACAGCATCACCTGCAAGCTGTTTATAATGAAAGTCAGCGTGCAGTGATGGGGAGAAGATTGAGGGGTGGGGGGGGCAGTAGCCATGAGAAGACTGTCTCTGCGCTTTGGTGGGAGGGAGGGTGGTGGAAGGCTGGTGGAGGCTGACCACTTGTGTCTATGCAGCTCCCTCTCCTTTCTCCTCTTTCCAACCCACTACCAGGGTCTGCCTGAACCTGGGGCTTGCTCTCTCTCTCTGCTTTTCTTCTTTTCACTGTCAGATCTATTTGATGGAAAATAAAGGACTTTGCTTGTTGTTTGAGACCAGAACCTGAAAGAAACGAGGCTGTGGGGGAACAGCAGGTGGTCAGATAAGATTAGAAAAATAATGATCAAATTAACCTTCTTGTGGAGGCAGGCTGCTGATTGTCCCCATATCGGATGTCTCTTCTCTGGGACTGGGGTGCTTCTGGAAAAGGCCAGAATGCTAAGCAGGGAACGTTGTGTGTTGCACTGAACTAAGGCCACCCTCCTCTAAGGCACAGCCCTGAAGGGAAACTCCTGGAAATGGAAGGTTTCTAGTATCTTGTGGTGAAAAACAGAAATCCAAGGAAGCTTGGGAAAGGGGTTTATAGCTGTAGCTTGGAGCATGGGGGGGTGCTCCAGGAAATATGGCTGGACAGCACAGGCTGAGCAGAAGGAACCGGCTCAGGGTTGATGGCACCCCAGACATAGAAAGCACTGTGGCTTCAGAGGGCCATTGCAGTTTTTCTTTACTGTCTGCTCCAACCACTGCTTCTGTTTCCTACTTGGAGGCCTCAAGAACATTGGGATTTTCTGGCCTTTTTCTTACTGGGCCTTCCCGTTCTACTGTGATAGGTGGTTGTGGAGGATGGAGGAGGGGTCTCCAAATAATGATTTACTCTCTGTGAATTCCTTGGCCTTCATGGTTTCTGCAACCAAAGAGATATGGGCTTCAACTGGGGCCTTAGCAAATGTTCTTTTCAGCTCCTGACATGGTGGCATGTGCCCAAGGGACAGGGGATAGGTCT